GTTGCTCGATGAGGACAACCAAGTTCAATCATATCCGACAACACCCCAACGTTTATCCTCGCTGCAGGTACAGTATGTCACTTCCTCAATCGTACAAAATGGAAAAATATCACCGAATTTGCCCCATGGCAAGAGGGTGTTTACAAACAAATGGTCCAAAGCGCTAAAAAAAAGCACTGAAAAGAATGATTGGACGCGCATTCGTCGATGACGAACATCTAAAAACCCTCGTGGGTGAAAGCGAAGCACTGATAGACTCAAGACCGCTAACATACGTAGACTTTGGGTCACTCCAAATAATTAAGCCAATAGATCTCATCACCCCGGCATCCAACATGCCCACTTCACCAGGCTTTCAAGATACCGAACCATCTTCGGAAGACGAAAACAAAATAACCATCGGTGGCCGAGATAAACTGCTCAAGTCTTGGACTGACTCCAAAACATTCATCGAACGCTGCTGGGAGACTTGGGAAACCGAATATCTACTCAGCCTTCGAGAGCGTAAACAAATAGACCATAGGACGGGCAGACTAATCAATCGAAACTTACCCCAACTGGCAGAAGTAGTAATCATCCATGCAGAAATGAAACCCCGTCCTTTATGGAGATTGGGAATTATCAAAAAACTCATAAAAGGCACAGACGGCAGTATCCGGTCCGCAGAACTCTACTGCGCACCCAACAAACTCGTCTCACGTCCACTCAACTTGCTTTACTCACTAGAAGTTCAAGATGACGACGCTAGACTCACTCGACGACGACATGAAGAAAGTCAGATGGAAACGGACAAAGAGCCGACATCAAGACACAACAAGGCTCAACAGCAAGAAAATTATTATCAAGATCTAGTAACACGATCCAGATCTCGAACACTCAAAACCGGTTCAACGTTAGTCTCGTGTATAATAAATATTTGAGGCACCGATTGGCGTCAGCGAGCAAAATAAAATCCCTTACAGTATCCATTTCCTACTTGTAATCTCTAATGAATCACCTGCTTCGTGATCGCATTGCTTTTCTTCCGAGAACTTACAACTAAATTTCATTTCTAGCTGAAAATACCAATTAGTCACGCAAACTCACCACAATCATTTATATTCCAGAACAATGCTGTAACGAATTCATGTGTGCTTTTTCATGTTCAGATGCAATAATGCTCATTTCATCAGAAATTTCAGTAATCAAAGCTGGCACTGTCAGCGATCGATAGGCACAGTATGAAAGAAGCGTGAATGATTTTCCTCATTCTTGAGCATTCTTGAACAATGATTTGAACATTCAGCCATATAATTTCTCTAATCTCATCCTGGCACCAAAAATTTAAATGCCATCAACTCATCGGTTCTCACTTCTTTTCTCATTTGTTGTTGGATTCATTTCTCATGTAGTTTTTGAAGTTCTCTTATGTCCAGACGCTAAGCAGTTCAACTCGTCTCATACCCATTAAGGTGTCACCCTATGTTCACATGAATCTATGTGTGTCGAGAAAATGAAGATATAATAAGTACGGCGACGGCTCAATCTACTATGTAATTAATACAGATGTTAATTTTTTCATCAACTTTCAGTATATAGTGTAAATGTTCGTGAATAAATCACCTGCTTCCGACTTTCCATTTTTCATTTCATTACCAACTTCAGATGATCTGTTTTAATATTTCGTTGAGCTGTTTTCAGGAGTGTGTCGGTTCGTACATGAGCCTTAGTGACAATCGCACGTTCAGAAATTGAGGCGTGTCACTGAGCACTTCAACTCTTGCAATTAATGCTTCTTTCGTTGACCGACTCATTGCTTAATATAAACAGATCTATTTCATGTTGACATTTAAACGTTTTATTTTATTGCCAACTTAAAAGTTTAGCGCTAAGCATCTCATGACGATTGTTTGTCGTGTATGTTAGTCGGTGACAGAATGAAATGTGCGATGAAAATGTCAACTGAATGAAGTTGTAGCCGTATAACTGTTGTCGACGTTCACTGAATATAAACTTAATGAATGTTCAATGCTGATTTGCCGAGCACACCATGGATAGGTGTGTATGAGTGTGCTAATATGAGTGTACGTCAAATATTCAATTCTTCATAAAAGGTGTGTGTATGTGTGTGTTCTATTCATGGCTAATAATGCAACAATATGAGCAACGGCGCTTCGGATATTTCAAGGGGCAACGATTTATCGTCAGCGGCAAAACTTGATTCACATAAGTGTTCATTAACGAACCTTCGATCTCCCTCATTAGTGGAGTCGAAACCGTTGAGCCGTTCGTCGGAACAGCTGCGACTGCACCAACAATCACAACCGTTCTATTCGAATTCATTTCCTACGAGTCACGCGACCATGGAATGTGAACGATGGTTATGCGCAAGACTCGATAATTTGCGAATGAAGCATGTTCTCGATCAGGTAAGAACACGATTCGATCCCTCAAGTCTACTAATGATGTTTCTGCTGTAAGCTTTTGACAAGCTGCTGCATTCGTTCTATTCCGCCTTTCAGTTGTTCTGTTTCGTTCTCTTCTTCGCGTCCTTTTTCTCGGAACTGTTCTGTTCTAATCCTCAAAATAGAACAGGAATAGACCGGTCAAACAGAAATTCGTAAAATATTTTGTTCGTCAATAAATTGGTCATTTTTCCCATTTTTCGAATTGTTCTTGTGAATGTTTTCATGAATGGTAAGATCAAGAATGATGCCAAGGTCTCAGATTTCCACTCCAAATGCACTCAGGCTGAAGTTCCTCTGAAGACACCCTTGCGCATCCACCGACCAAAATTACTACGAATAGAATCACTGAATTCAGTTCTTTTTTCGCTCTCAATTAGGATTTTTTTTTTTTTTGATATTATCTCTGCCTNTTTTAGATTTCAATTCCTTGATTAAGGTTGATGTGCATTCTTTTCATTTAGTTCATTTTAGAAAACGGACGGAAATTTACCGCAAAAACTTGAGAGAAGTTATGCGAAATTCAATCCAAACGAAAGAAATATTCGCGGTGAGACGTTGATCATTTCGGTGATTCGTTATGAACCCGACAAAGCAACTCAGGTTTGTGCACTGAACGGCTTGAGTAGTTATGCGATTGGAGTGTGATGAGAACAGCGATTTGTTCGACTTGTCACGGCACTCGATCATTTGAAGATGATTTCGGATGGAGCATAAGTTTTGATGATCTGTCTGTGGTTTATGTTGGCCACGATCGATTTCTGACATCGCAGATTTAAGATTCGTCAAATGAACACGTTGATACGATCAGGATGTGACGTGTCATTACCAGATTCGAAACAGTTGCGAACACCTTTGATGGTTGCATGTTTGATGCGCAATGATGCCATAGCACATCATCTGATCAATGTTAATTCATTTGAAAGTTCTCCTTTTTCTCTTTTTGCAGGTGGAAAATTTCAGCGTTAGAAATTCAATAATCAACTCATTTGCACTGTATCGGATAAATAGAACGAGGCTGTCCACAACTTACTGAACTCATAAAACTTTGAAAAAGCTCTCTCAAAACCGTTAAACTTACGTTTTAGGGATGGAAAATTTATTATCCACATTAATTGTGCACAATCGAAGCAACATTCAATAAGTGTTTCGAAAACCTCATTATGTTTCTTCAACTATTGCAAAGCAACATTGTTCGCTATTTACTCCGAACCAATGCTCCTCACTTCAGAACAATGCAAATTTGCTGGTTGCTGATAAAAAAGGCAATACAGCATTGATGTATGCAGCTGTCTATTCACGGTCATCCCTTCTCTCACATCTTTGTGAACAATTGGTGAAACGATGGGCGCTCGAGGCTTTCCTTGCCAAAAACTTTATGGGTTACACGGCCGAGGGTTTGGCACGAAAAAATGAGCGCTACATGTATTCAATGTAAGTGGAACAATTCTCAACAAATTCTCATCTCTGAATCCACTGTGATACATTTTCTCATTTTGGCGTGCAATTTTTTCACCTCTCAAGTTTTAATTTTTTCACCTCTCAACCTTCTTCACCTTTTTCACCTCCATTTTTTCACCTCTCAACATCTCAAGGCGAGAGCAATCAAGTTTTAATTTGCTTACGTCCAAAGACTGCATTTGTTCAAAAGTTTAGAAATGCTTTTTCTTTTCAAAGTTTTGCTTACTATTGGTTCATAAAATGCTCCTTGCAAGATTTTTTGTACCTGTGCGGATTAAATTAAACTCCAAATTGCTGACGTTCTCAAGGAAGTGTTTCAGTCAAACCAATTAATTATGCTGTGTAATCATTGGTAACGAATGAAATTATTCACCTTCTGAATTTCTCTATGAGCTATTCAAAATGAATTCAAAATACAATTTCACAAAGGAAATCGCATAATGCATATTCGATTAACGTTTTTACTTCATAACGATATTATTGTTATTGCTATTCAATAAGCAGTGCACTTTTCCGAACGTCGTTTATTAGTCGCCAGCATTTGCCGTTCACGCAGTAAACACTAACATTACCTAGAGCATAACATCAGGTGCTCAGATCATTTCAGCTAACGTTCGGAATCATTTTTTGTTTTTGTTTTTGCTTTTTTGAGATCGACAAGATTTCATCTTTTCGTCTAGAATCTATAGAACTATGCATCACTTATAATGACAAGCAATGAAAAGGGACGTTTCGTTGTTCTCATTCGTGTAGCTGAAAAGGATCAAAATTCTGCATGATCCTCACGATGAACCATAGCCATCATCAGTTTTGTTGAAAACATTCGGAAAAATTGACGGTGGTTATAAATCGTAGCCACCATCGATTTTCCTAAATTCTTTGGCATTGTACTGGGAGATTTTTATCAGAAAAAAATGGCTGTTATTTAGGAGTTATGAGTGAACGTTTCCAGGATGTTGAAAAAACAACGGCTAAGGATTGTGAAATTGTTGCGTGATTTCGTCACTTCGAACCTCAAATATGCACCTGAATTTAAGTCGTGGCAGCAATTCGTTTCCGTTTACAAGGTACCGTTTCATATGCGGCCTAGTTTCATTTGAACATTTCCGGTTTTTTGTTCATCCAGAGTCTGACTGCTTCGTGAGTAGGACAATGAAAAAGGAAATAGCCTGACCCACTTGGGTCTGACCGCTATTTTTTCGACTCAACAAATATCATCAAGAAATTCGAGAAATTCAGTGGATCAAAAAGCAGCGGAGAAATTTGCCTATGAGAATTTTCCAGTGGCAAAATATTTCTCGAATTTTTGCTATGATGATTCGTAAGATAGCATTGCAAGGTCATTTTTTGAAATGTGACGTCTC